TATTTATATATATTAAAAAATTAAGTTTATATATGTTAGAGTATATTTTATTTACATTTATATGTATATATGCATGTATTTAATAAAAATAATGAAACGAAAACATTTACAAGAATTTAATGAAATTTAATGCTAATGATCTCTCCCCTTCCCCTTGAAAAATTCCTGTGTGCGCCACTGCGTGAGCTATTAGAAGCAGAAATCTCAACAAATGTTACCTATTAGGAAGGAATTTTTAAAACAATCTATGGATCAATCTCAATCACAAGTTTTTTTTTTTTTCTTTCTCTTCTTATCTTTTCTGGAGGAAGATTTAGATTTTTCATTTCAACATACATCGTCATCTGAACTTTGTTCGATCGCTGTATAACGTGCTTAATTTTAGTTAAAAACTGTTTCTCTTCACATGGTATTGTAAGGACGTTAGATATGTAAGGTACCGGTTAAGGCATCGTATTCGTGAACTATTCATTGTCAAAATTATGAAACATTTATCAATATCTTTAGAGTACCGTTATCTGTATAGTGAACAACCTCAAATAAATTTGCATTGTACCCGTTCAGAGAAATTAAAATTCAAAATACAGTCGACTCTCAACAAATCGAAGTTGAAAGGACCAACGAAAAACTTCGATTTATCAAGAAGGGTAGTAAAAAAACTCCCAAAATACATGAAGAGAAATTTTTTTCTAACACATTTAAATTTGAAACTATGTAATAAAGCAACAATTGCACATATGTATAAAATTATTTTGGAGTATTTTTAAAAAGTTTATATTATATAGTATAAATATTATACAGGTTATAAGAGTCCTGTATTTAAAGAATACATTTTTGTATTAAAAACAACTATTAAAAGAATACATATACTGTACATAATTTTTTTAACGAAAAATTCTCTTATCTTTTTTTGTTTTAAGGCATTCAATCTAACTTTGTCAATAGATTTGTCTAGAATAAATGACGCTTGAAAAATGTCCGCATCAACATGATTCTGAAGGAAAAAATTGTGTAGTTTGTTTAGTGACACTTTAGCTTCTGTCAGAGTTATCAGGGTCAACTCCGATGGTCATCGAAGGGACTACGTTACAGAGGAGACAAGCAGAGACAATACCACACAAAACATGTAAACTCCAACCTGTTTTCTGCAGGACTCTATGTGATAGTGAGTGAATTGTCGAGAGTTTTATTAGATCACTTTGAATTATCGAGTGTTGTATTCTTCCCGGCCACAGATTTAACTTCGAAATGTTGAGTGCACCAAAACGTATTGTTTTAGTTCGAAATATCAAGAGTTTTTCAAGGAGTTGAGCATGTACTTCGAATAAGCGAGAAGTTCGTATTACCGAAGGTTTGAATTAGCGAGAATCGACTGTAATTATCAATACTATTTCTTTCTCTCTCTCTATCAATTTTTTTCAGTTTCAAGAAAGATTTACAGTGCGCCTATTTGTAGTACGTGTTATTTATAAAAATTTAAGTGTTGCATAAATAATGGCTCCGATTCCTCTAAGAAAGAAAAAAAAAATCGTGAGTCAGCCGCTCTTTATCCAATGTAAATATAACAAAAACTTGAAAAACCACAACAAAAGATTTTAAAAAGAAAGCTGTTTTAGATCACAATAGAAGAGGGAACATGTATCTCTTACGGCAATGGTTAATGCTAAAAAAAGATGCGGAGGCGAAAAAACACGTTTATACTGTTGCTCAGAAAAAAGTTCCCCTATTCCCTTTAATAATATTCTCAACAGACGGCTTGTCCACCTTCTAAAGACAGAGAAAGGGGGGAGGGTTGTATAAAAACTCAGACATTTGACTCACCATCTGGTGTGATGCGTCACTCAGTGATAGAAAGATCAAAGGCTGCTTTTTTAAATCTATATCATCACGGTGTTAATAAAAAAAAGGCACAAAAAAGAATGAATGAAAGAATTAATCTTTAGATCTTTTGAAGGTGTTTAAAACAGATGTGAAAATAAAATTCGATCACAGTTACAGCTTGTTCTTTTCAATGAATTATTCAGCTTTTGTTATTGATATTTCTTTTTTTCAATTCAAATTCTTTGTCGTGAGTAAAATGTTCGTATAAGGGAAATTTGTCTATACCCATAAATTGATCCACATGTGGGAATTTTTTTCCCCTGTTCAATGGAGACAGTTTTATTTATTCTCGAAGTTCTTCATTTTGTTGATTACAAAGAGAATTGTCAAATAATCTACTTTATTTTATTTTATTTTTGCTATTTTCATAATTCTTTGAAATATCATTCTTTATAATTCATAAGTATTTCTCTAATTTGTTGTCTATTTCAAATTTTAAGGAGTTGCCAATATATTTTTCAAGATATATAAAGAATATAACTGATATAATGTTTAAATATAAATTAAAAGTACAATATTTTCAAATCTGTTTTAGCTGATTAATCTGAAGTCATCCACATGAGTGGTTTAATATGGTATGACTGAACTCAAGTACGTTTCGCTTTGAACATACACAGATGAAACAGTTTAGCCCAGGGATGGGCAAATAGCAGCCTATCGGTCACATGCGGCCCTCAAAGAGTTTTTTTGTAGCCCGACAAACAATCAGAAAACCAAATAGACAGAAAATTTTCCCTATATTTGTGTCAGTATATATTTGAAAAAGCAAAGTTTATCTTACATGAAGATCAACAAGATTATATTTACAGTGAAATGCGCTTAAGACGAAATATCGGTTAACACAAAATAATGCAACGGTCCCGCCAAACTACAACGTACTTTCATGCAGTTTTTTCCCCCTCAACAACGAAACGAAAATCGCTTAACACGAAACAATTTCCCTTCTTAGAATGAACAAAATACGGAAAACACCTTATTATGAACGGGTTGTCTTATTGTATTATCGGAATAATTCATTGATGATGATAATGTCTGTACAGCCCCAATTATGACAGACGAAGACATCAACAAATATCATTGATGCAGATTCCGACGATGAAAAGGAAATGAATATAATGCAGCTCTTGTTCCCCACATTGTCCATGAAAATTATCAGTGGCGTAACGTACACCCCAGCAACTCCCACACTGCGGGAGAGTTCAAGATTCCAGGGGGCTTAAGGCTTATATTATGCTATGGTTTTGCAATCCTTTGTCAGATCCAGCTTGGGGTCCAAAACCGGGCTTTGCAGGGAGGCCCTAATATTCTCCGTTATGCCACTGAAAACTTATTTATTTATTTATCCACCGCCCATGCTTGGCTTCTTGACCATTTGACGCCGAGCCTCACAGTACCGACTGACGATGTCGTCAGTCGGGTATTCATAGAGTCTAGTGCATTGGAGCAGGTGGTCGCCATCCATTCAGGCATGGCCGCAGAGTGGGCAGGCCTCGTCAGCAGCCAGATCAAGCCAGTAGAGGTGTACTCCCAGAAAGTTATGTCTGGTGGTTTGGCGAAAGCGGACAACAACCTCGGCCGAGCCATTATCTGAGCCACTGAAAATTATGCACAGCTATTTGGACGCAAATTCTAATGGTGAAATGAATAACAAAATGGACGATATCAAACAATTTGTTGCTAAAAGAGACAATGCAAAGTAAAATATCAAATTATTTTCCAGAAACGCAATAAATGTTTCGTTTTTCAAAAATTTTGAAAACTTTGCATTAAATTTCTTCAAGTTCGCTTGAATGTTTTTGCCTCATTGATTTTTATTAAATATATGCGTTTATACATATCTATGTAAATAAAATTAACTCGCAGGCTGGGATGAGAATTTTAACGAGCAATCTCACTCCTTTCAAAAAGATTGTAGATTCATTTGTCTCATTAAACTGTATCTAAAATGAAATGTGCTTGCAGTTATAGATTATATGAAATAAGCACAATAAATGAATTGAATAAAACCGCCACTGTGATTCTATTTAACTTACACACCAGTGGTGTAACGTACACCCCCTCCCATACCCCCCACGTTGAGGGAGGAGGGTGGGAATTCTAGAGGGCCCAAAGCCTGACTGACACCAAGTACGTATTTGAACTTGGGGCCCCAAGCCCTACTTTGCAAGGGGGCCCTTATATTCTCCGTTACGCCACTGACTTATACTTTGATACAGTTCCTATATACACTACCTTTTCTGTTATGCAAATTTAACTAATGAATGCAACCATTTTAAAAAGGCGTGCCCCTCCGATATCCTTCACTTCTACAATGTGGGCCTTCGAGTCAAAATAATTAGAAACCCGTGGTCTTGCCAATGGAATTGTGAAGAAAAATTAATTTTAATCGATATTTTCCCGATCCAAGAGGCACATCTTTAAACCCCTTAAAATAATCACACACATAAAGATATCTAGAACAATATTTTACTCATTTCAAAATTTTATTTGAGAAAAAGTAATAAAAATAAAAATTGGTTATGAATAAAATATTTTTAAAAAAATATGCTTACATAAACATTAACTCTGTAATCGAAAAGTCTTGATGAGGACTTTTGTCAAGTAAACAAAGTTTCGGATTAATGAATTAAACAACGACATTTCGTCAAATAAAAACTGGAATTATGAAATCATATTAATTTTTCAAGATTTTATATTTCATAAGGCAATCAATAATACTTTTTTTTCGTCTACAAAAACAACAGGCATTTTTTCTTCTCTTCAGTGCATGGTGGAAAAATTTAAACAAGAACTTTAGCCGTTCATCTCTTTAAAATAAGTAATGTAAACAAAAAAGTCAATTCCTACTTAGAGTCAACAAAGAAAAATTTTATTTATTTATTTATTTATTTTTTTGCTCAATAATTACAATTGATATAAATATGTATATACATATTACAGAATCCCAATCTTTAATGGCAAAATAGAAAGAGATTTTCCTTGCAATTTTCATTTTCCTTTCTGTATAGGGTGTTGGACTATTTTTGTTTGTTTGTTTGTTACTATTTATTCATTAATTAAATTTAATTATTCCAATAAAATGGTATAGTAAAAAGAAATCACATTCTCAGAAATTAGGCTATTTCAGGTGGGAGTTGAGCCCACGACCTTTGGATTTGAAGTGCAACGCGATATCTATTGCGCTCTTTGGACACACCGTGCGGTTTTCCTTTTTGTTTATGTTGTTGAACTATTATTTTTGTTTGTACTATTTATTCACTAATTAAGTAGAACAAATGAATTAATATTTGAAAAAAACTATATTAACATCAAGTGTCATCCACTACAAGTTTAAAAAATGTATTTGATCTTGAGTGGATGATTAAAAGGTATTTTATTAACGACTGAAAATTTGTGAATAAGATATATATATATTTTCTAAAAATATATATTTTTTGGGGGAGTGTGAACTAATAGTAGGAATTGGAATAAAAATCGATTTTACGTGTGCATCGTTCAGTTTTTAAGGAATCGATTTTAAAATCGATGCGTGAGTCAACTTGAAGCGATCAGGAAGTGGATGCGCTTCAAATGCTGTGAAGCGATAACAGCCTAATTACAGTGTCTGAAAAGCTTCGATAAAAGACTTTGCAAAAACCAAAAGAACACGGCTTTCACCGCCTATCAAAACACAAACTACCTCAGTTCAGATTCTTTTTTCATTACGTCTACAATTCAATTCTAAGCTCCACTATCATCCTCCAGATCTTCAACATCTCCTAGGCCACAGTGGCGATCTTAATTCCTGATTGGACCTCTTCCCGTTTCAGATATACCCCAGATAGCATTCCGTGGCGAATGCGATCCTTTTTATAGATTTACCTTTCTTGCAGGCCGACAAGCTGTGTGAAAGATAGGCGTTGGCTTTCGATAAACTGTGGTTATGCATTAATCTCTTTGTGACTGGTGAAGGCCTCGGATCTATCTCTGTTTCTGCATTAATTTAGTTTTTTAATGCGGAAAACTTTTCAAATAACATTGACCTGTTAGACGTACGTGCGAGATGCTGCAAGGTAAGTTATGTCACGTGGCTCAGGGTATCCGAGTCCGTTCCGGTCGTTTCCGGGCTTGATGGCCCACGCAAATGTATTCGATGTAACAAAAATGGATGTTACGCCATTTTTTTCTTTGTAATCTGTTTTGAGAGTAATTATTGATTTCAATGGTGTACGTGTCATTTGATTGCCGTAGGGTTATGCCATTAAGACAAAGGGAAGAATAAAAACTCATTAGAATTGACAAATCGATTAAATTGCTACATGAAGGCTGTGGGTTTAAAATGCTTTATAAGTTTTTATTCGCCTAGGGGAGTCAATATGCAAAAATGTAAGATTAATTTGGCGATTTTCTCAAGATACTCAAGGTCACAATCGCAATATGATTTTGAAACATGGGCGGATCAGAGAATTTGCTCTGGACGAAACGCCAATGCTAATATTTAAATTAGTTACACAAGTATTATATAAAATCCTGCACGTAAAAGTTCACAAAAAAAGTAAATGAATAAAATTACCTCTTTTTGCTCGACGAATATTGAATTGGATTTTAAAAGATTAGGTTAACTCTGTTCCTAGCTGGGAAAAAACAGTTATCCTTCTTTTCTTTTGACTTTGTAAATTTCTTTAGAATTTGTCAAAAAGAACATTAAGAGAAGAGTAAATGATTATACCAAAAGTTTTGCTCAAAATAATAATAGTTTGCTTGACCGCTATTTATATAATTATAGAAAAAACTATTAATAAAGCAAATTCTGAATATTTGTATTAGATGGGGTTGAAAATTACAGAATAAAACAAACAATAATACAGATTGATTTGAAAACAATAAGGTAGAAAATAAATTATGGGAAATTTCCGTAATTTTTCAATGAATGTTACAGAACATGCAAAAACAAGAATTGAAGAAAGAATTAATGTGAAGCAAAATAAATGAAATAAAATAATTTAGAAACATTTTTAATAATTAAAATTTAAATAAATAAAAATCAACTTCTGAGACAAAGTTTGTTCAGCTGACGTATAGTGCTGTGTATATATTATAAGTGAAATTGAATGGATTTAGTGAAAAGTTCAATGTGTATATTCTGTGCATTGTTAAAATAGTGTTTTTGTTTGATTATTATTTGAATCGTTTAATTGAAGAATTATTGTACAGTACAGTAGTAAGTACTAAATAAATATACTAATATTTTTGTAAGATAAAAAATAAATAACAGAAAATAATTTAAATACTCGCATTTATTTTGGCGTTTGAAAATTTTATATTATTTAAAATTATTTTAAATCGTCTTATTTATTCTGGCCTTTGAAAATTTTGTATTATTTATTCTCTAATATTTAACCTCTGCATTGCATCACGCAATCGGATTAGTGTTTCACAGTGGCTTAGATTAGACGTTTTCTTACTACCGTGGTAAAACAGACATCTAGTTGTTCAATCATAATTTTATCGTGGATTTTGAAATTAAAAATTCTATAAAATCTAATAATAATTCAAGATTAATGTGTTGAAGTTTAAAATATGGTTAAAAATGCAAAATTATAGTTAATTACCTTATATCATTAAAATCTTTAGTTTGAAATAATGATAACGGCTCCGACTTTAATTCCATTAAATATTTTATTTTATTTAAAAATTTAATATTTCGAAATCATTATTTATTAATTTAAATTGTCAAAAATAAAATATATGCTCTTCTATTTTTTGCAAAATGATTATCTATAATTTTATATCATTCGATTTTATTATTAGAAATTTACGAAAAAATATTGTCAGAGAATTAGGGTTATTTTAAAAATCCATTTTTCATATTTGCTTAGATCCTTAACATTTCCCCCTAATTTCTGCTTTGGCAATGACTATTCACAAATCACAGGGAGGTACTTATGATGCTATTGTCTACGAATACGATCGCAAACATCCTAGAGAATTAGTTTACGTAGCTTTAACAAGAGTAACGAGGATTCAAGGTTTATTTTTGGTTACTCAAGAAAATATTAGCAGCAGCTGGAAATTTTGGATTGGTAGAACAGGAACACCTCTAAATGCTTCAGAAACAGATAAACATCATAAAAGATCAACAAGTCATCGAGAGGATCTAACGTTAGAATTGGAAAGGTTACAAAACAATATACTACAAACGGTCACCAAAACTTTTCTAGATTTCATCTCCAACAAGAAAGGATTATCGATATTTTCATTCAATTGTCAAAGTTTGCATGCGCATGGAGCTGACCTAAAAAATGATGCTATCGCAAAAAAGTCAAATGTTCTGCTTTTTCGGAAATTCCGTATGAAAAACCACTTGATATTCCGAATTTCAACTTTGTTGTAAGTTATAAAAGACCCGAAGTTCCAGCAGCAGGCATACCTATTTATCACAATACTCAAGATACGTCCCACTTCATTACTTCACATATGGACATACATACTAAATTCACTAGAAGTATTGGTGTTAATGTTTCTGATCTTGGCGAAATATTTGTTGCTCGTTGCGATTCCGAGAATGGGCAATACATATTAATGGTTGCCGTTTATATTTCGCCTGGAAAATCTATGAGATAGATACAACAATTTTTATTCGAAAAATTTGATGATTTATACAAAAAAAGGTTCTGAAATACTCGATAAAAGATTTGGCGAAAAATATCATAATGTACCGATGATTTTAAGTGGAGACTTCAATATTAACTTTGAAGATGATAAAACTTTACCACTAATCGAATTTCTAAATGAAACACTTAATTTAAATATGTCCAATGATCAGGAACTCAGTACTACAAAATATAAAACGACGACCGATGTGGTTTTTACGCGATACTTAGATAAATTTGAATAAAACATTTCCCTTTCTTACTTTAGTTACCATACGCCTATTGCTTCTTTTTTAGAAAAAAAATGAAATGATTGAAAGTACAAAAAGTCTAAGTATTGTTGAAATTAATGATGACAATGATGCAAACAATTAAAATAATGTTAAAAATCAAGTAGATTGAAATTTAAGTAAATGCAAATACTATCCATAAATAATATGATTGTATATTAATTGTTATTTCAATTGAATTATATTTATATTTTGTCATAAACTTGTACAGCCCGTAATATATTTGAAAAAGAAAAAAAAAACTATATAAACATGCATTTAGTTGTTGCTCGGAGTGTCAATAGATGTGAAAACCAAATTGATGTTGATAATTTTAATTCAAACATTATGAAATTTCAAATTTTTATTCTAAAAGCTCTAAGTTTTCACTTCTATCGGCAGTCTCTATAACTGCCAATTTTTGTTTTTGTTTTTAATGTTTGCGTAATTTTTTGTGAAGAAAATTAAATCAGAAAAATTGTGATTTTTAACAAACAATGTTAAAAAAATTTGTTAAGCAAATAAAAGTTTAATTATTTAGGCGATATCGATTTAGTATCAGCATGAATTTACTTGATTCGTAGAATTTCTCTAAATACTTGATCGATTTTTGTAGAAATGTTCGAATGCTTCTACTTGTTTTCATCGAATATTTGTCATTATTTTTGGTTAAGCCTAATCTTCTCCAATATGCATTATACACCGTAAATAAGAAACAATCCATATGAGCTTTTATTTTTCAATTTAATGAAAATCATTTGAAAGTTCCAATAACACAGTAAGAATTAATTTGTAATGAGAAATATGTTAAGTGTTAAATGCACTTCGATATTTTAGAACATGTTAATGTCGAAAAGTAAGAACTGGATTAGAAGCTTTTTACAATTTATGCGGAGATATGAGAATTTGTCTTACTTTTTTTTTTTATTGGCAGTATTATTCCATTTTTTTCTTTCTCTATAATAGTGACAGAGAAAGATAACAAAAATATCGTGTGTAGTATTTTTCTGGAGAAAGAAGGAGAAAAAAAGAATACATATTTGTTTTTCAGAAAATATAGTCAAATAAAACACAATGTAAAAATGTAACTCTGTGTTTTCCCCCTCAAACAGGAAGAACTAAACACTCAAATCCTTGTTTTGACTACAGGATGTGACACAGTTTTCTGCCCAGTGCACCACAATATTTCTTTTCTTCTGTTTTCAGGAAAATGATTTCTTACTTCCTTAGTTCCCATAAACTATGAAAAAGATAGCATCTATAATAGTTACAGGAATTTACTAG